TGGTAGGTAGGAGGCCATCGCTAGTAGGTTGGAGGCCATAGCTATTAGGTTGGAGGCCATGGTAGGTAGGAGGCCATCGCTAGTAGGTTGGAGGCCATCGCTAGTATGCCATCGGTGAAGTCAACGGATAACTTGAGGTTCAAGCGCAGAGTGACTTAGCAAAATACCCAGCACGCAACGGCCTGTGGGATAGACGTGCAACGCGGGCACAGTCTCACTTGTGTTTTTTCTTCGTCCGACAACGAATCATCGCCCATCATTGATTTGGTCAGTTGCATGGGCCCGTCGTTGGCGACTCGAAAGCTGTGGATGCGTCAAACTTGATGCATTGTTTGCAGGGCTCCATTTGCAAGACTGCCAATCCACACGCTCAGCAAGTTCCGTGTTTGAGCTTGCTGAAGGCGGTTGAGACTGGTCAGATGGCGGTCATTTTGGGTATTAGTTGTGCATGATTCCTTTGACGGACACACAACGATGAAGATAAAGTAGGGTTTGCAAACTGATTTTGGCTGCTACGTGACGATTTCAGTGTGTGCCATTTGTGCCTGTTTTCAGTGCTGTGGCCTCCAAAAGGCCTACTGCGACGATGCTGGATGTCGCAGCGCTGATGTGGATGGAAGGGACTGCAGAGCAAGGACCATTAGGGGCAAAGGAAGATGGATTTGGGCTTCTTCAATAAGGCCCCTTTCAAGGGTGTCCAAATGAAGAAAGGGGCCCAAGTCTACCTTGTTCTCTTTGTCATGATATTAAATTGTACTCCTTTGAGCGTCTTGTTTCCTTTCAAGGACTTCTTTTCAAAACTTCTCTTCGGAGAACAAGTGGACGCAAGGCCCTACAGCGCCCAATCCATCTTCAAAAAGGAAAAGAACAGGTGTTTAGCCGGTTGCCCCAAAGAAAAGAAAAACACAGACACCAATTCTTTCATTTTACGTCTATGTTTTTATTGTTTGAAGCACAAACGTCTCGTTTCATTTCATCTCGTTTCTCGTCTACGAAGGGCCCTCAGATCACCCATGTTTGTCTCCACAGCTTCGAAGAGGATCGCTTTGTCGGTCAGAAGCAGGGCTGACCTCACTACTTCGCGACTATTCGCATCACGCAAACAGCTCTTTAGAACAGAGAAGATAGCGAGGACTAATAGCAATGGCCTTCAACCTACTAGCGATCGCCTCCAACCTATGGAATTATGAATAACTTATTCTTTCTGGTACCTTTTTGTGAAAATTCTCCAAGTAGCATTCTTCCTGGTCCTATGGTGTTGGCTTTCAGTTGCCAAGCTTCACTGCGCAAGTGCGACAGGAACCCTCTGGCTCAGCAGATCGAATGCGTTGTGCGCTTGTGGCCAGTATGGCCTTACCGCCAAACAAACGAGACAAACGAACAACAGCTCTTTCTTTCTTTTCGTTAGATCTTTTTTTTTTGTGTGTGTTTGTTCTTTTTGTGCACGAAAACCTTTCAAAGCAAGACAGTTTTCTGGTCTTGAACTGCCCCGGGCAAAGCTGGGATGCCATCGGCACATGTTGACCTGACAAGGTACTTACTGAGGATAAGATGATCGACGTAAAGACTGCCAATGCCTCCTCAGATTGCGTGTGGAAGCACGGTTTTTTGGATTATCGCACGACATGTTGATGGTACACGTGTCTCAGGTAAACCTGCCGAACACGGGAATCAAGTTCAAAGGTGGCGCTCAGGCGGGCCGTGGAAAAAACACATCGTTCGCGCGAAGCCTTAGGGTCCAAAGCCACAGCCGATTGTCGTCGTTGAATCGTTCAAAGGCTGATGCAATCGAGTAGTCGCTTGTTGCAAACTGAAAAGGATCCTCACCCCGAAAGGATCATTGCATCATTGCTTTTTACTGGAAGTGCACCCAGCACCTTCTCATTTTCCACCGATTCTTTTTTGCATCAGTCTTGTTTGAGTTGAGCTGGGGGCTAGGCGGTGGCTAGCAGCCCATTCTTGGTATCATTTGTAAGTGACATGACTCAATTAAAGTCCAATTAAACTTAGTTCCAATTTATTGTAATTCTATCTATTTCTTGTTTCTAATAGCTTCTTGTTACTAGTAGTACGGCCAGGAGCCCCTAGTAGCGTCCTTGCTCCTAGGTGTTGTTCGATGATGTGGGTTGACACTGCGAGGCTTCCTGTCCAGATTTGCAAAGCTATTGTGCGCACGCCACATACGGCGAAACGGTGGGTGCTCAGAGAGGACGCAACAAATTAGACTCCCTTCTTTATCCAGTAGCAAGAAGCTACTAAGTGGAGGCCATCGCTAGTAGGTTGGAGGCCATCGCTACTAGGGTGGAGGCCATACCAACAAATTGATGACCAAACGTAATCAGCAAGATTCCCTAGGTGCGCAAGGCTTGTCCGGAGACCTGTCTGGACGAAGGGCTTGAGACTCAGGTTGGAACATGTCTAGCCATACACGCCTTAAGTCATCTCGGTTTTGCTGGCTGGATTCTAGATTGTGGCGCTCGCGACTGAGCCAAAGATGAGTTTTTCAATTTATTTGGGCGACCGTGGACTGACTGTTTAATTGCTCATTGCCAGAAGTGAGTTACTCATTCGTGTGATCAACCATGATGAATGTTGCCAAAGACCGCGGTGCAATATGTCACCTCACAGGTATCCTTGCAATGCGTCTCGCGCCCTGACAGCTTTTCGTGTGAGGCTCAGCGACAGAGTCCGATTAAGCTGGATCTAATTGTATGGCCTCCAACCTTGAAACCATGGCCTCCAACCTACTAGCGATGGCCTCCAACCTAGAAGCGATGGCCTCCAACCTACTAGCAATGGCCTCCAACCTA